TCCGCACTTTGTTCCTTCGGATTCCGTGACCTCATAGAAGGTTATCAAAGGGTCTTAGAGATGTGTTATGCCTTGGGAGATCACTGTCTTGTTTCTTACTTCTGCATCTGGATCCGTTAATAGGTCAATATTCGGTTCATCACTGCAGTACCGAGTTGAATCAAAACCCGAGTTGTTACAGTTTTTTTTTTTTACATATATATAATTGTAGTGTAGAAAAAGAAAAAGGAAAATTTTATTTTAAAAGGTGGTAGGACCCACTACTAGCATATATGTGTCGCTTAGAGACACATTTGGTCTCGTTCTTCCTCTCTCTCCCGTAGCTCACTCTCACCCCTCTCATTCTCCATTTTTTTTCTTTTTCTTTTTACAAGATTTCAATCCTAGATTTCTCCCTCAATTTTTGGAGTTTTTAAGTGTCGTTTGCAGCAAATTAGAGATCATGGCGAGATCTTTGATTTGATCGAAATAAAGGTGGTTTTGGTGCACCCTAAGAATTTCAAATTCTAGGGTTTGGATTTGGCAAATTGGGGTTTTTTGCAATTCTTGAGGTAGGGGTTTCTAATCCACAATTTTCTTTGACTTTTGTGAGTTTTCTTATAAAAGTTGTTAAGTTGTTTACTAAATTATGAGTATTATTTGTGGTTATGGACATTCTATTTATAATGAGCATGACAAGGTCTATATTGTCTTGAAAATGATAGAAATTACTTGTATTGGTTATTGATTTTAATTATATGCACTTGAATGTTTGAACGTCTAGTACTATGTTGTCAAAATTGTTAAATGAGAGTTTCTTAATTTAATTTTCCCAAAAGTATGTAAATGAGATATAGATGAATTGTATGGAATTGTGTAATAGCATGCTTATGTGAAATGGATTATGCTTTGTATGTTTGGTATGCTAAAACAATGTTACAGGGAAGCATGAATTACTTATTTTAGAGATTTAATTTGCAAAACATGTGTGAAATTCTATGATTGAATTCATGATTAGGAGCATGAAACATTTATACATCCATTGGGAAAGGAAAAATGCGATTTTGAAAGCAAATAAAATGATTTTGGAAAATTGTTTTTGAAAAGTGTTGCGAAAACCTGGACGCCTAGGACGCGCTTAGTGGTCCGTGGTATTAGTGTGATCTAGAGGGAGTTAGAGAGAGACTTTAGTGTGGTTGAGCTACCCATACGACGCCATGGAGGTGCCATGTGGTCGGGGAAGACTAGCCAACCCCTCCCTAGTGACGCCTTAGAAGTGCCTGGAGTTAGATTACACTAACGGTTTGGAAGTTGAAACGAAAATGTTTCGGAAACGGGGAGCGACATAAGCATGGCATTACACTTCATTGGCATACATGGTGTATTTGTGACTTGGTTGACATTTGTGTTTAAATTGGATGTTGTGGTTATGGTTTACATCCCCGGTATAGTATGATCCCGTTCTCTTATTTTCTATTCTATACGTAGATTCACAGAGTCATAAGAGGTGTGTCTTAGACACTTCCTACTGAGCTTATGTTCACCCCTTTATTATTAACATTTTTCAGGACATGGAAGAGAAGTGGCGGACGACGCTCCTCTACAGGGTTCGATGGATTAGTAGCCCGTTTTTGGCATACTTTGTAGCTATGATCTCATTTTATTACTATTATTTATTTCTTTATTTATTTATATTTATTATTATTATTATTATTATTATTATTATCTTATAAATCCTGGGATGACACATATATTATTTATTGACATAGGAAAGGATCGTAGTGCCCTTAGTTGATCTCATGTTAGGGTAAGGATCGGTTAGCGATTCAAACCCTCGGGTTCAAATCGTTACAGTATTGGTAAAAAAAATATAAAAACTCTCTTTTCCTTCCTTCCAACTGAAAAAAAAAAAAAAAAAAAAAAAAAAAAGGGTCACCCATTTATCATTTTTACTATCTATTCTATTCAACTAAACAAAAAATGGGGAGATACCTTCCCTTCCTTTATTAATGCCTAGTTACATTTCTCTCTTTCATCCATTTTTTCATCTTTCCAACCAAACGAAGCATAAGAGCTGAAATCAAATAGACCTTAAACAAGATTTTAGTTTATGAGTTTTCAATATATTTATTTATTTATTATTATTTGTTTCCTCAACCCTACTCTAAAGTATTGTTTTAGGTTACTTCTCAATTGATACTACTTTGTTGTATAGTGCATTAATGTGTTTTTATGTGATAATTTTTTTTAATTTTTTCATGTTAAAGTCTTTTATTGTTCATTAATTTAGTAACAAATTGTCAATAAGATTTAAAATTCATGTGTAAATCATTATTGTAATAAATCATTTTTAAAAATAATTTGGGAAAAGTATACAATACCCTTGGGGTGTATTTGGAACCTTGAAATTGGAGAAAATTTTGTTTTTTTAGCTGTTTTTTTCAAATTTCACAAATTTCTGTTCTAATACTCCAATTCTATGGAACCGAATACACCCTTGAAGTATTATATAGTCTCTCATGTTCAGGATTGTGAACTTATAAAGTACTATTACATAGTTCAGTACTACATTTTTTCGGTCAATAACAGCCCAACACACAAATAAATGTGCTAATTTTATTTAACTTTTTACTTATATGTTGGATTGTGATTGATCGAGACCTTTTTATTCCGGGCCATGTGGTAATTTTTCATAATTTAAAGAGAAACATAAAAGTAAGTTGCCAAAGGAGTGATCAAAGGAGATTGTTACATGATCCAATGAATGTGTAAGTGGAGAAAAGCTTAATTGCGTCTATCTATGAGTGACAGGACACAAATAACGAAAGTATTAAAAGTTCAGATCTTTCTCGTCTAAGTGGGTGTTGGGACAGAGAACACTTCTCTCATAATTGAACTTTTAGCTTTCAAATTACAACCTGTACCGCTGGGTTCTGTCCCATTCCACCCATTATTGGGACGAGTTAGGTCTTAATCAGGATAAGGACAAATTTTGGGAGGAGAGTCCCATCTTCACTGGTTAAAACTTAAAAGCATATATCATTGATAAGTACTCATTTTCTTTTTCCATATATTTAAAAAAAAAAAAAAATTAACAAATTTATGGTACATTGTTAAACTATTTGTACATACTTTTTATGTTGTTTTTAGGATTATGTTTAGAAATTTCTAAAAATGTGCACGGCAGGGCACCCCAAACCCGGAATAAGGTGAGATGAGTTTGAAAAGTTTTTTCTTCAATACATGGTTTTTGTGAGAAAGGGACACCCTTGTCTTTACTATCCCTAAAGCCACCATCATTGTGCCTAAGACTGGAATTCAACTCCTAGCAACAATAACTTTTGTTTGGTTGGGGAAGGAGACGAGAAGCCTACAAAGTGAAGCCATGTGCGAGGAAACCCCATACTACTTGAGGGAGAATGCAACAAATCATCATTTTTGCTTTTATTTTTTTTTTATTCAGATAACATATGTCCGGACATTTGTCCTGATTAATTCACTGTGTAAAGTCTTCCTATACGAATCGAATCGATTTTGAATGATGTTCGTGGACGTAACTACTAAAGAATTATTATCGATACCTGATATCGAATGAGATATTAGGGTTCAAGTCTTTTCTAACTTAATCAATTATTTAAAGTTATAGAAATGAAATCGACCGAAAAATATAAAATTTCAATGTGTCAAATCTTGTAATATTTTAAATAAAAAAAATTATATATATATATACAAAAAAAAATACAAAACTTCAATGTGTCAAATCTTGTGATCTTTTAACCAACAATCCCATTACGTTGGTGCATTTAGTTATGGAGGGAAAAGGGATTAACCTAACAAAAACCCACACCAGAGGCCCACCAAAAACCGACCATATAATATTTGATTAGACTGTTATTAATGGGGTTTATGTACTCTAAACAAATCTCATTATGGACAACAAATATTCTTAGCCATCACTTTTTCCACTTAAATTTAAAACACTGTACCAGAAGTTGGTTCTCTTGCAATATTTTTACCATGACGCACCATACCCAATTTTTCTTTCTTAACCCCTTCATTCTGACCAAATAAGTTAGATCATTTTCATATATATATATATATAGATACACACACATGTGTGTGTGTGAGAGAGAGAGAGAGGGGTGGGGGGGCCAAAAACAGATGGGGCCTAAAACAGATTTTTACACGAAGCTTGTCACCTCTCAAATTTGGCAACTGGGTAAGGGGATGTTTGGCTAAATTCAAATCGGTTGCAGACAACAGAAGTCATGCTCCTACTGAGGATCATCACATGGGCGTTGTGAGAAGAATAGATCATGCATGGTTGCCCTAGAACTTGCCAACATTTCCATGGCCACAGTTAATGCCTTTGTCAAAGATTCATATATATATATATATATATATATATATATATATATTATATGCCAATATGCCCCCGTCATTTCACTTAGGGAATTATATTTCGAAATTGCTTGTCAATCCCATTCCACTTGCCAATCCAAACATCACTTTCTTTATTCTTCTTCTTCCCCTGTAGCAAAAAAATTAAAACCTAAAAGCAATGGTTTAAAACATTATCCTCTTTACTGTGACACACTTAAGCAAAAAGGTCCATTAAATTAGAGCAAACCCACCATTAGCAACATGCCATTAAGGACATACACACCATTATCAACTATACCAAGATTATGGACGGTTAAAAAAAATACATATACCCGCCAACCAATTTTACATAACTCCACCCGTGTAACGATGATACTTAATAACGTAGTGTTGTATTGTACCAGACGACTATAATATTCTTTAGCATTGCAGGACGTTTAGATACATGCACCCGAATATACGTACATCAATCTTGTCATGTGTTTAAATAAGGTTTATCAAATATAATATACACACATATATATGTATACTGTGTGTGATTATTATTATTATTTTGTAAACTAGCAGCCGCTTTTGGATACATTCTCAATTGATAAATTGATTGACACGTTTATAGTAGGTCCCTATCCCTTTCCCTTGTGTATGTGTGTATATATATCCACCAGCATATCTATCCAACCCCCCAAGTAACCCCATTCGAATTAAGAGCTCTCAAAGAAAGGAAAAGAAAAAAAAACAGAGAAAAGAAAGAAAAAAAACCAAACATACAAACAGGGAGTTCATTTTTGTTAGTATTATTGCGGTTTCTTAGTTCTGTAACAAAGACAGCTATGTGTAACCCCAAACCATCCTCTCCATCCTCATTTGTCCCTACTAAGAAAACCCATTTCTTAAACCCCAAACACACAGTGGATCTTCTTCACAATGATGACGAACTCCACAGATGGCCAACTCCTTCGGAGGTAACATTCCAAACCATTTTCATAACCACATGAACAACAATACTTGTCATTTACTAATATAATATATACACACACACACACACACACACACATATGTATGTATATAGTCATGAAATGTATGATATTTTTCAACAAACACTCATGTCCTTGCATGTTCTTGCTTTTGCATTTTTAGGCCATGGAAGAGATCAAAGCCATAGGGAGGATCTCGGGTCCAACAGCTATCACAGGTCTACTACTGTATTCGAGAGCCATGATCTCCATGCTTTTTCTAGGGTATCTCGGCGAGCTTGAGCTTGCCGGAGGTTCTCTCTCCATCGGCTTCGCCAACATCACCGGCTACTCTGTCATCTCCGGCCTGGCCATGGGCATGGAGCCCATTTGTGGACAAGCTTACGGAGCGAAACAATGGAAGCTTCTTGGCCTAACTCTACAAAGGACAGTGCTTCTACTCCTCTCCACTTCAATCCCCATCTCATTCATGTGGCTCAACATGAAGACAATCCTCTTGTGGTGTGGCCAAGACCAAGAAATCTCATCTATGGCGCATACTTTCATCGTTTTCGCCATCCCGGACCTCTTCTTTCTCTCCCTACTCCACCCTCTTCGCATCTATCTCAGGACACAGAGCATCACATTACCGTTAACCTACTGTTCAGCAATCTCGGTTCTCCTTCACATACCACTCAATTTCCTCCTGGTGGTCTATTTCAAGATGGGTATTGCAGGGGTGGCCATAGCCATGGTTTGGACTAATCTCAATCTCTTCCTTTTGCTCTGCTCGTTCGTCTACTTCTCCGGCGTGTATAAGGACTCGTGGGTTGCTCCGAGCACGGACTGCCTCCGGGGGTGGTCGTCGCTGCTCGCCCTGGCCGTGCCGACGTGCATCTCGGTCTGCCTAGAGTGGTGGTGGTATGAGTTCATGATAATGCTGTGCGGACTACTAGTCAATCCCAGGGCAACCATTGCTTCAATGGGGATTCTCATCCAGACCACCTCACTAGTCTATGTCTTCCCATCCTCCCTCAGCCTCGGCGTGTCGACCAGAGTGGGCAACGAGCTGGGCGCCAACCGCCCCGCGAAGGCCCGCATTTCGATGATCGTGTCGCTCGCCTGCGCCGTGGCGTTGGGCCTGGCCGCCATGCTGTTCACCACCCTGATGAGGCACAGGTGGGGGAGGTTTTTCACCACGGATGCCGAGATCCTGGAGCTCACCGCGGTGGCATTGCCGATAGCCGGACTGTGCGAGCTCGGGAACTGCCCGCAGACCACCGGGTGCGGGGTGCTGAGAGGCAGCGCGAGGCCTACAATCGGAGCAAACATCAATTTGGGGTCGTTCTACTTGGTGGGCATGCCGGTGGCGTTCGTGATGGGGTTCGTGGCGAAAATGGGGTTTGCAGGGCTTTGGGTAGGCTTGCTTGCAGCACAGGCCTCGTGTGCCTTGCTCATGCTCTATGTCCTCTTCACAACAGATTGGATGGCTCAAGTGGAGAGAGGAAGAGAGCTTACACAGTCCTCTTCCACTACAACAACAACAACTACAACAATTTCATTACCCATATCATCAAAATCAGAGCCTACTAAGAAAATGGCAAATCTAGAAGAGATTTTGAGCGGTAATGATGATGAGTTAGTGAAGTTTGAAACAGATCCTCTCATATCAAAAACACACACATTGTGCAGTAATTAGAAGAAGAGAGTACTACCCCCCATTTTTTTCCACTAACTCTTAGATGAGTTGGTGTGAAAATTGTTCACTACTAGAGTTTCACCATCATTTATATCACTGTAGAAAACAGCTTTTCTTTTTTAACTTTTCCTTTGTTTTCTGTTACTTCTTTTCTTTTTGAGAAGTCTAACAACATAATTGACTGTAGAATAGAATAAAATGGAAATACAACATATTCTACTACTTCTCCATGCTGGTCATTGAGAGAGATAGAGAGATGATAAAGTGTGTCAAATAGAGGAGAGAGAGAGAGAGAGAGAGAGGAAGGGGAAGCATCTGCCTCTTTCTTTGTTGTTCCCTTTCCATACCAGGCTATTGACTGCCTAAAAAGGAAAATTAGCATAATGCTTTTACCAGCTTTCCCAAATACACCCACCATTCACACATTACTTTTTCATTTCTTTTGCTTCATCAATGTGAATTCTAAATTCTCCCACTCTTCTTTTTCAAGAGCAGTCAGATAAATGTTTAGACTTTTTCTAGGAAAAAGTAGCGTTAAAAAAATAAATAAATAAACATGATGAAAGTTAGATCCAACATATCATAATTCTTTTTTCATTGGGATTCACACCCTTTTATTATTTAAAATGTAAATCTTTGTTGTAGGTATTGTGAGTTGAGTTTGTGTCTCAATGGTGGTCTGCACCTTCAATCTAGGGTCTGAAAGTTGGGCTAAACAACCATGCAAAGCTGCAAATATTTTCCTATGCATTCACACGTAAACACTCACACACTAGGATAAAATTATTACTTTGAAAAGGGTAACTCTACGACAAAGGTGCCAAGGGTAAATCTACGATAGTGGGAGTTCGCAGTGGGAGCACACTCGTTATTAAAAAGGAGCTAATATGATTTGAAAAACAAAAAACAATTTAGGAAAAAAAAAATTGATAAAAACAATGTCATGTTGTGAATGTACAAGCAAATCTTTTAACAAGAAAACAAATTTGTACCCCAGAGAGAGAAAAAACAAGAGAGAGAGAGAGAGGGGGGTATTAATTTGTGAAAAGCAAATCAGTAACAAAGACAATGGTGATAATTAGTAGTAGTAGTAGAGGAAGTATCAGTTGAAAGAGGGGTTGGAAGGGTATGGGGGGCCCCTGTTTCAAACTGAAGAAACAAAATCCAGCTATTATTACCTCTGTCTACTTCTCACATGACAAAAATAGGAGCAGTACTGCCTCTGCACACCAGTTCCCAGTCCCCCCACCCCCCACCTCACCATCTCTGCCCTTCAACTGGCTCTACTCAAACTAGCACAAACTAACACAAACCCTACCCTCATGATTCATGAACAAAATTGACATTAAAACAGAAAATGAAAAGAATATATATATATCTCTCTCTCTCTCTCTCTCACACACACACACACACACAAACAAACAGATGAACCATCTCATTTTGAGGGGGATACACCTAAGGCCATCATATGTTCTTTAAAATTATTATTATTATTTTTTCTTTTTCTTAATTTTAATTTTCTGCTAGTGCTTTAAACCACCCTTTCATCTCACCACTCCCTTATCTCTCTTTTACCCCCAATTTATTATCTCTCTCCCATCACCATCTAGCTATCCTAGTATTACACCCCAAAACCCCCTTCTCACTTGTGGCAACAAATTATTTCTGAAACTTGTGGTATTGTAAGACTTTCACATCAACAATTCAATTTCATATTATTACATCTAACTACAATCATATAATATGGTCACTAGGATATATATATTATCCTCTCTATTTACCCAAGTCCCACTACATAGTCCTGCAAAATGATAACATTATTTTTCCAACCATCATCATCATCATCAAACGAAACAATAAATGGAATACAATAATACAGTACACATAGAACAGCTACATGATAGAGGCGGGACAATTGAAATCTTAAACACACTTAGAATACTTTCTTGTCCTCCAATCATTAAATAAGGTGGACCTCGTTCTAGACCCATACCACCCAACAGTTGACAAACGCCGTGTGGAACACGAAACATTTAGCAGCAGCATTCTTCCCCCAAAAGTTTGGGTGAGATGAAATTCAAACAAGTTCAAATTAAAGGGTGGAAAGAATTTCAAGCAATGCCTACTACTAGTGGTAAAATGGTTTTTTTTAATTTTTTTTTTTTTTTTTTTCTGGTCTGTGTATCTTTTTCAAGATAAGACACTAAAAATCACCCTCCACTCAACCAAATCGAAAGTTAAAAACAGAAAAGTTGTGTACTACTAGCCAAAAGACTTTTCACAAAATCACTCTCAGATTGCAAATCACAAACTAAGAAGATTAACGCAGATTTTTTTATTCTCCTAAGTGGCATATAACACATTGGGAGTACTATATAGTACAAAGAGGCAGATGGACATTTAAGTGATGATGAACTTTTTAAACAAATGTGACATACTTGTCCTCCCCACATTGGAAGTGATGTCCCTCAATTTGGATAAATGGGGTACCCCCTGAAGCTCCCGTGCAAAAAGACAAACTCACTCCTTCCAAAATTACAGTGTACTCTTTCTCCATCAAAGACCTGCATCCTAAACGGTAACTTTGTCCCACCATAAAGAATATAAAGGGTAGTTTTGTTTTACAGCAAAACCCCCAAGCTTTGTAGGGTACCCTAATAATAATATTATCTGGATATCAAGTTCCACAGGCTCCAACAGGCAAAGTTCAAATTTATGTGCATCAATTTTACCCATTATTATTTAAATAATTATTAAATTTGGGGGTAAATCTGTACCCACATATCAAATTCATTCTAGTCTCTATTGTGTGTGTACATGTATATTCCACCAACATGGAATGTATTTTACCCCCATACAAATGCTCTCCTTTGTGAAAAACCACACTGAAAAAATTGTATTGTTTTCTGAAGGAATATGCTCAATCTTGTTGCTGTTATGGGATATATCTATTGTAACCATCACTTTCTAGCACATCATTGTAAACTCGGAATCGAATAATTTCAGGCCACGTGTTCCATTGGAGCCGGTAGATTAAGCGACAACGCGTCTCTTATCACTAAACTCAGTATTCCACCAATAGCATCATTCAATGTGCCAAAAAAGGGGAAAATATATATATATATATATAGAAATAGAAATAGAAATAGAAATACAACACACTAAACTAACATTAAAGTGAACCATTGGTGGGTGGAAGTGGTAGGGTTGGTTCACCACAAAAATTCAACAAAAAGTGAGGAATACTAAAAAAATAGTAATAGAAAAAGCTTAGCCCAATTCTATATCAAGTGTTGATGTAATATTTTAAGGCTTTAGTTAGAGACCATACCTAAAAACTAGCAATGACTTTTGTGCCAATATCCTATTAATGTCTTAAAAGACACCACCACCACCTCCTCTTCATGAAAGAAGAAACAAGTGCCCTTTATCCTTCTCTTAACCTAAACAAACAAAATGTAAACAACAGAGCAAAATACACTCTTTAGTGAGTCGATGAAAGTGCTTTACTAAAACAAAGTGTTTTGCGACCTCCTCTTCTAGGCAAAGAAAACATGTGTCAAACCCAACAACACACGCTTTATTATTTCACCCCCCATTTGCCGAAAGGCATGATTTACTAGACTAAAAGCCTAAAATAATGGACGACTTGGAGGTTCCCTCTCGTGGCCCAGCAATGGTGCTGCTGCTGCTGCTACCACCTTGCAAAATCTAAAAGTGCCTCAATCTACAGCCTAGACCTATTGCATTGCACGTTCAAATGCGTCTCCCTAGCCATTGCCTTGTTGATACACCTCCTCGTTGGGGTCACGATAATACGATCGGACGGACTAGACGGGGGGGAGAGTCACATCACTCTTTTGGGATTAAAAGTTGAAAAGAGTTTGTGATATGAATACGGCTTTTACTCTACCACCAACCATCAGAGTGAAGCATGCGTGCTGGCCTAGTCTAGCAGAGAGAGAGAGGAACAAATTTGATTGAAATGGATCACTTGGGCATTCAAAGATGCCAATCGTGTGGCATTAAGCTACACACAAGACTGCAAGTGCCGTATGGCGTCTCAAAGGGTCTTGATTTTATCATATTCAGCAAATGCGGACCCTCCTCCTACAGGGCACACAAACACTAAGAGACAAGTTCAGTGACTTTTTGAGTGTCACCTAATGGAGCATGGGCACCACTTGCAGGGGACATTGGTTGGCATTTGTAGAGTAGGAAGAGCGAGCTATAGGGCAATTGAAGTTTGACAATTCTTGGGTAGTTCTTGTCTCTATAGAAGCTGAGTAGTGTGTGTGTGTGTGTGTGTGTTTTTTTTCTCCTATTCACTTTTGTTTATATTGAAAACCGACCTCCAATTCGGAATGTCTCAAAAACACCCATTGTTGGCCCACTTTGTGTTTTTCTAACTCATCCAATACAATATTATATATAGCTACTACGCACAAAAGTCAATCTACAAAGCTACGATAAGAACTGGTCATCGAGAGAAGATGAGCCACGCCTTTAGCCACTACTACAAGAGTGAAAGCTGAGAGAGAAACGTCTCTTGGTGTATATGGAAAGGAATGAACAAAGGATCTTTATGGAAAACACGTGGAGTATTGGCTTAAAAAAGGGGTTAAGTATAATTGGTTCACATAACTTTGCTTCAAAGTGAAAGCAAATCAATTGAAAGAATTAGCCAAGTGGTTTGACAAATTCTTTGTTTTTACTCACACTAGTGTTTGACCCAATCCCTCTTTGTTTAGTGGTTTGACCACAACATAATCACCTGGTTTTCAACAGACTTACTTGGAAAAGGCAAAAACAGGAGTCCAAGAAGCCATGAACACCATGGGATTTGATTAGAGGAAAAGAATAAACTTGCTTGGGTCAAATTTCTTCTTTCGGTGGGATATTGCAAAGGTCCAACTCCCCCGACCTATATGGAAATTTTGATCACAAGGATGATGAGTCGGTTTAATAACTCCAACTTGTATCTTAGAAGCCAAGACTACCAATACCCACACTTAACGTGTAGCGTCCGCAACAACAATAGAGTTCCAACTGCAAATGATTGATGTGAATAATTAAAACCACATTTCAATTAAGAAGAAAAAAATGTGACTTCTAAGACCCATGCAATCCAACAACAACTACAGGAAGCAACAATATCATAAAGGGAGTGGGGGAAGCAATCCAATACATATATATATATATATATATATATATGTGTGTGTGTGACCATATCTAATATATGCAACAACTACAAATACAATAATTTTTAGTTGGGGTCAGAGTTGAGATTCCTGCATTGGCCAATTTGTGCTACCAAAATATATGAACGACATCGTGCACGCATGCACTTTGAAGGAAATCAAGGTAAGGTAATTCTTGATGATAGCTCATCTTTCAAGGGCGTGGCCAAACAATTGAAGACCATACCTTGCTTCCTTGGCGTGACAAGCCATCCTGTAATAAAATAGATGCTATTATGATCACAAAATTTAAGATGTAGACTTATTTGAATTCAACGAAAACCTCATATAAAATGACTCCTTAAAGTTATTATAGAATGACTCCTTAAGACAATTACAATTCAGAACAATGATTAAATAATTACATCTCAAACATTTTTTTTTTTTTTTTTTTTTTTTTTTTTGGGAATGTATATAACCGTCTACTTCAATTAATTCAAGGAAATATTCTTAAAAAACTTCCTTGAAACAATTATGGTTCAGAACAATTGATCAAACATGAACATGAAACATTTTTTTCTCAGAGAAGGGCAGGCCAACAGCATAAGAAAATCCACAATTGTATAGAGAGATGATTTTCAATTTTTCCCCAATTGTTTGGAAGGAAAAAAATAAATAAATAAAAGTGTAGGAATTTAAAGAATTCTCTTCTCCCATTTTAAACACAGTAATAATGCTTAAATTATAATAGGTAATTATCTTTTCATTTATGGTACCGTGGATAGGTAATTAAACTTTATAAGCTAGGTGGAAAATTTCAGTATGTAATAAAATCATGCCTGCACCTTAATTTAAAAAATTATATTCTCCTCTCCCATTTTCTCTTCTATAAGACTCAAATTATAGAAGGTAATTATCTTCTTCTTTTTTTTATATGGTACTATGAAAAGTTGATTCAACCACATAAGCAAGGACGAAAATACCGAGTCTCCAATAGAAGAATGCCCACACCTCAATTAATTATTAGTCAACATTCTGTCTGAATTATGATCACAAAGGATTCAATTTGAATCCAACACATCATAGAAAATTTAATAAAGATATGGACAGTGACAAAAACTATTACCCAAACACAAACTTCACTGAATTCCTTTCTAGGTTTCTGCATCAACTCTTGCAAGTTCTTCTATTTCATCCACATCATCATTGGGACTGTCATCACTGTTATAGTCAACAAAACCTACACTCGCACAATAACAATGGGGGCATCAAAAAATTAAAAGAAAGAGAAAGGAAACTATCAGCAAAAGTTCTCCATTAAATATTAAACGGACAAGAAGCTTGCTTACATACCATAATTATACATAGACTTATTGTAAATGTCTGTATGAAAGTAAATATAATATGTTGTTTAACACGGTAAAAGTTATCTATACAAGTCTCAGTGCCTGAACTATAACAACAATATATAAAAACACGAACATTCATCCAGTCAATTATATTCACAAGCATATAAGCAAGTGTGATGTTGTGGCCCGAATTTTGTTTTGAACCAGGTCATGCGACCCGGTTGACTAGAAAATGAAAAAAAAAAAAAAATTGATACTTTTTTTGCTTGCGGGTTGTGGCCCTCTCTTGTATCGTATATAAGGGCATTAAGGGTTTAGAGTGGAATAATGTGAGAACACTGAAAATCGTAGAAAAGAGAGCGAGGAGCGAGAGCTAGGGTTTGGGGACTGAAGCTTATAATCTCCTAATGTGAATTTTTTTGTCGGATCTTCATCGTGGACGTAGGCACAACTTGTGTCGAACCACGTAAATCTCCGTGTCCTGTGTGGTACTTGTTTTTGTTGTGTTTAATGATTGTTTCTTGGTTCGCTGTGTTTGTCGTAACACAAAGGCTACAGGAAAGTAGGTTTAGGGCCTGGCTACAATTATGTCTTAAGAAGTCCATGTAATGCAGTACCCTTTTTGGTGTTGGAACATGAGAAACCAGGAAACAGGGGAAATGGAAATCATCCAAACAGCTGCTTCTTAAATTGATATATTGTGCCAGCTGCAAAGTTCAAGTTCAAGAACTCTGGTGCACCTGGATGTCCATGGAGCATTAGAGACATATAGTGAAACCTTATTAAAGCAATGGTTCATGGTATTAAACTACTAATAGTTATATTGAGAGAAGATACTATTTTTAGGTTTTCAGGAAATTTCCAATCTAATAATTTCAAGAAAATCGATAAATTTCTTACTTACACTATGCTCAACATATATATTCCTCTATCCCTAGAGAACAATGAATTTACGGAAAGAGTTTCATCTGAATTGACAAAGAAAGCATGGCATAATACAAACCACAAGTAGTTTCTTATCTGTGGCAACTTCTGTACTGGCCCAACAGAACTCCAGAAGATGACCATTGGACATTTTGCCCATTCACACTCAGGATTGACTCAAGCCAAAGGTTTGTAACTTTATTGAGCTGCTGGACTACTTTGCATTAGGAGGAAAATAAAAGAAAAACACCCAACAGTCTACACTTACACGCAAAAATAACACAGCAGACAAGGACACATAGTCCTAAAGAGGGACTAATCTACTTCAGCATTCATTGACAGATAATGATGAAATAATTACCTCCGGAAATAAAGGAGGCCGAGCTATGAGTTAGCTCCCTTGACTCTAATGCGCTATCAAGAAGATAAGGAAGTTCTAGAAGCTGCAATAAAGCTTCTGTTTGAGGATTCCGATGATGACCTGCTAAGGAAAGGTAATACCAATTATCAACATACACTTTCCACAGCATTTAATTTCTAAATTATCATAGTTAGCACAAATCAAAAAAGAAATGATTACAAAACAAACCCGAACAATCAGAAATTATACAGGTTGTGAACCCAAATCCTAAATGATTCCATATATTTGAAATCACCTAACTTAATTTTACACTTGCAAACTCACCAATTTCTTTAGCAATAGCATTAATAAAATAAGTATATATAATAATAGTACACACACACATTCGGGCATATTTACTGAAAAGGCAACCACAACTATCAGTGGCAGATGATCGACTACACCACTGGCTTATTGCCTGGACTCTCCTAATGAACGCATCAAATGCATAATTATGGTTCAATCATCAGTTGCTGATGAGCCAGCACTTCACAAAATCGCATTTCTCAAGCAACTTATCTAAAGTAAAATAGAGTAAGAAGTCCATTAAAGTAAGAATTTGTGGAGTAGAAATGAAAAAGGTAAAAGGCAGTGCCAAATAGTGCCTTAGGTGACCCCTGACAAGAACCTTTGAACTGCAGTATTGTACATGAGGAACAAATCGTGAAGGTGTGAAATCCTTTAAGCTATTTGGTAAAACAACAAATTTCCAAGCTGCAAAACTTGCAACTTTTTTTTTTTTTTACGAGTGCAAATTTTTTTAACCTTTTAAAATTTAAATACTACGAAGTATAAATTTTTCAGAGCATGACCAGAAGTCCTTGACAAGCTTGGTCTTCAGCAACAACAATAATAAATATAGTTCTTCATACTGAACATCTTGATGTTATGCCTATACCACTGACGCCCCCAAAAAAATCTATGGTTGTTGCCAATTTTTTTTTTTAAAGGGAAAAAAAACCAAAGGAGTTTACCATCACCATCCGGAAAAATACACCCCTTTTGGAAAGAAGTTTAGATATCTATGAGTACATAGATCTTAACTTCATTTCACGTGCATATCATGATATCTTATGCTCATTTAGACAATCCAAAAAGGCATCAACTCATTTCAGTGGTGCTATCTAGAGCAAGACTAAACTAAGGCTAAAAATTCGAATACTCAGCTCATACTTGAGCAAGTTTACTATGTTAACTTTTTCCTAGTTTCTGTCAAACAATGAAAGGTAATTGAATTAAAAAGTGTTTCATAAGTTACGATCCTATGGCCCATGATCAGCATTTCTGAATCTTGAATCACAATCAAGTGACTTGCTGTAATCCACTTGCAAGTTATGATTTTTGCAACTAAAAAAGTTCAATGGAAATCAAGGTTCCCACAATAAACATTATAGGAGGAAACAAACTATTAATATAATAGGAGTCAGCGTGACTTTGTAAAAGATTAATTAACCATGGGCAGATTGCATCGACGGTAAGCATGAAATGTGAACTCAAAATTCAACTGAATCAATTGTATCTTAAATGTGTGTGTTATTTTTATTTTATTTTCCCTGGAACTTCTAATTATTGAATAATCACAAAGTGGTAGCCACCTATTAAAATCCCAAGTAATTAGAAGGAAGGGGATGTAGTTACCGGGGTGAGACATTTTTGAGGATGTGGCAAGAATTGTGGAGAACAATCCTAAATGTAGGGCGGCAAATAAACCGCTCGGGCTTGTTCATTAAGCAAAGGAGCAGAGATCAAACTCGTTTTCTAGGCTCGTTTAGTTAACGAGCCGATCTCGAACAGTGTTAGGCTCAGCTCATGTAGGCTCGTTTAGTGTTGTTAAAGGTACGCCTAAGCTCGAGGCACGGGTCTAGCGCCTGTTGTCATCCCTGCACTGATGTTTACTAGGCGCGCGCCTTGATTGTGTCTCGTCCTATTTGTCAAGCGCGCCTCACTATTTTGTTTTATTTTAAACTGATTATTCTATTTCTTAAACCAAAAAAGGTACTTTTGGCAACTTAATAAACAAATAAGAAAGCCTAAAGTGTATGAGAGAAGGAACTTTTGTTCAAAAGAATAAACAAATAAGAAAGAAAGCCCAAGAGTCAAAGTATCAACCAAAAATAGAAAGAGTGAGACTGTGAGACCAACGGAGAAAGCCCTAGTGGCAGAGACGAACGACGAAGCCATGTCAGTTCTTTCTTCTTCTTCTTCTCTCTCTACTCATTTTTGTTTACTTTTCTCTCTTCGTCTAGTTCTCCTCTCTGTCCTTTTTTTGTTTTGGGTTGGGTTGGGTTGGGTTGGGTTGGGTGTGTGTGTGTGTGTGGGGGGGGGGGGGGGGGGGGGGGGGGGGGGGGATTCTTTTCTACTTCTCTCTCTTCTTATCTATTTCTTTTGTTTCTGTCTTCTTTTTTTCTTTTCTTAACATTTTTTTTTTGTTAAAAGATTTATTTCTTTTTGTTCTCTGTTTTGCCTTTCAAGAAAACAAATTTGTGCTATGTTTTATGGTTCTTGATTATATAGTTGATGGATTTACTTTCTTATATTTGATATTAATTTTTTAAATGTGGTTACGACTTATGAGATATGAATGCTTTTATGGTAGTTTAAAATTTTAATTGTGCGCCTCGCTTCACTCAGGCGCATGCCTCGCCGTGCGCATAGGCTCCAAAGGACCTCTAGCGCCTTAATGCACCTTGAGCTTTTAATAACACTGGGCTCGTTTATGTTCATGAACATAGGCTTATATAGGGCCGTATATATTCATGAACCGTAGGCTTGTTATAGGGTTCGCTTATATTTGTTTCTATTTTTTATTGGAATTCTTTAATCTTTGCAAGTATAAAATAAAATTTCAATGAATTACTAAAGCCAAACATTGTTGGGCTCGGTTCGTGTAGGCTCGTTTATTTTCGTAAACATAGCCTCATATAGGGTTCGTATATGTTCGTGAACCGTAGGCTCATTATAGGATCCGTTTATATTTGTTTCTATTTTTTACTGGAATTCTTTAATCTTTGTGAGTATGAAATAAAATTGCAATGATTTACTAAAGTCGAGATTGAACTCGTTTTCTAGGCTAGTTTGCCGATCCTGAACAATGTTGGGCTCAGCTCGTGTAGGCTTGTATATGTTCGTGAACATAGCCTCATATAGGGCTCCCATATGTTCGTGAACCGTAGGTTCGTTATAGGGTTCGTTTATATTTGTTTCTATTTTTTATTGGAATTATTTAATCTTTGTAAGTATAAAATAAAATAGCAATGATTTACCAAACTAGCTTGGACGGATTTTGAACATAAGTTAAATTTGTTTTCTTAAACGAACCGAGCCGGGCCCGAGCTTTTTAAAACCATAGCTTGAGCTTAGTTTTTTGAGCTCGTCACAATCCCAAGTCAAGCCCGAGCTAAACCTCTAACAAACGAGCCCGAGCAACGTAAAGCTCGACTTGGCTCGATTTGTTTGCAGCCTTACCTAAGAGCATGGGTTTGACTTCCTTTTTCCTTTAATAGAAATGTAATGTTTTACTTTATTTTGCCAACTTTAGTTTCAATTACAACTAACAATTTGTGGAAGTGCAAATATTGTAATGAGCATATTGCGGACCAAATATTATTCACATGAATGGTATGAAGCTAATTCATTTTGCAAACCCATAAACAATCACTTGTTCAAAACTTCAAATGCATAAATTACGACCCTATGTTATCCACACTTATCGGGTGCAGGTGCGTGCAAGTGTCGAACTCACATAATCACATATCTTAAGATACAAAGATATGAGTTCAAAAGTTGGATATGGATACGTGGAGACGTACTACACATTCAAATACATTATATGTTTTATATATTGTAATGTTTAATATTGTTGTTTTATAAGAATATACTCAATTATTACTCAAATTATGTACGATGTGGTAAAAGAAAAGGGGGCTTAATCTATCTCATAGATAGAAACCTCACCTCTACTTTTATATTTGAGTTTTTACTCCTACTTCTACAATCATGCCATGTCAACACGGGTACGTGAAGGGAAATAGGAGAGTCCATATAATAGACGACTGAGTGGCTTAAAGCCAATTTATGTTGCAGCCGTGCAAGGTACCATGTTAAGGTATCCCAGAATTATGGTCTATAATTTAAGACCTCATCACGAAAAATGGAAGTAATAACAAAATGACATAATGCATCTCAAAATCATTACCAGAGGAGAACACTCTAGAAAAAGACTCAGAGGGAACGTGGCATGGAACTGTCTGCACAAATTCAAAAAGTTTAGCCCCTCTTGTTTGTAGTCTATTTCTGACCCACTGACGACATTCTTTCATATCAAGCTGTACATTCCTATAACAAAAGAATAGCGAATTACTAGCTACTTTCTTGCAAACAATGTCCAATCAAGCACATCTTAGTGATAGACATACCTAAAGTTTGCAGGTTTAATGGTTAAAGGCAAGATAGAATTGTACTTCCGCGTGATCGCAAGCCATTCTTCATCATACTGAAACTCATAAGGTCCTGGCTCCGATTCAATTTCAATAACCTAAAAAAGCAGTAGTTCCAATAACTGAACTTTTTAGCTTCAAACAATCATTTAGAAAATAAATAAACAATGAAGTAGTTGAAGACGACAACAAAGGATGCAAGCTTACCTGCAAAAATTTGCGTCCTGGGAGGCACTTATCAAGTGCAAGAAATTTTGTGACTTGGTTTGGCTCTCCATGTTGAACCAGAGCAGCGAATTTGCAATGTAAGTGAGCTGAAAACCAATAAGGAGGTTTCAATTTATCCAGCAATACAGCAGCAGCTTTACTTCCCAGGGTTCTTTCCTGAATCTGAATAAGTATGAGTTTCAAGTGATTTTTCATTGTACAATAAAAGCAAATTTTTGTATCGGAGATGCTTAAAAACAAATTTTTTACAAGAGAGAGAGAGAGCAACGGAAATTTTACAGTACATCAGGGGGAAATAGGAGACATTGAAATAGTAACAAATGCCTAGTTCAGCAAATTGTATCCAAATCACTGTTAACAGTATTTAGATGAACAAAACAACCAAATATTAAACAAGATACTGCCATTTCTCAAAGTTTTATATGTAATGATATAGATAATGATAACCTGTAAATTGCAAGCTGAAAAAGTGGTTAGGGGCCCTTTTTGGTCCTTGTGTAGTATTTCGGGAAGCGCTCCCCTTTTGAGCATCCTCTATAACACTTTTCATTTAAATATATATATATATATATATATATGGAAGCTGAAAATTGTATCTTTTAGGTCGATATGCAAATAATTAAACATGTATTTAACAAGCTTCATTTTAAAATGTTTGGATAATATAGAGGCATTGACTGACAATAAATCTATCACAAGTCTGCTTCACTCATATTAACTCATATTATATTTGTTGTGTTGTCAACATTGAGATGCTTCCAAAAAAAAAAGTCATTATTAATGTTCAAAAGTGTAAACTTTTGTTATTGAAATCAATAAAATAAATAAATAAAATTCTAACCCTTTTCATATAAGTATAAATAAATCTATATCATGATTATAATGCTAAAAGTTATTAAATCAATTTGGCCCAAAAAGACTTGTGATTTTTAGAGAGAAAAGTATCGCATTTTTTTTTTTAAGTAAGAATTCATTAAAGGAACTCAAAAGGGGTGCGCTCCCAAGAGAATACACAAGGCGCCTGAAGATGTAAGAAATTTTATTTTCTATTATGAAAAGATTTTCTCACACCCCAAACAATCTGCCTCTTTTCTCTCTCTAACTTCTATTTATAGAAGTTTACATTTTACCCTAAACTGATGTAGGTTCCATCTAGGTACTGTGCTCCAGAATCGAATAGACAAATGCTCTGATACCAAAAACTGATTTAGGACAAAGAATAGGCTCAAATAGAAGAAAGTAAATAAGAGGTATGGGCTGGAAATTCAGAAACAAAGCTAAGATTCAAGGATTGTTAGTAGAAAAGAAGGATTGGAATTAACAAAGAAAAGCCTATTGGATCACTCCAATAGGACCCTAGCTATCACACCTAGAGAAGGCCTCACGCCCTCAGAATTTGTGAATCACTCACAAAGAAATCTCAAAGGATAATTTTATTCAATCATTCGCTGAGCATTCAGAATTCCATAGTATCCTTTTTATAATAAAAGATGACCCTTGGATTACCCAACAATGGAGGTAATCAAAAGTTGACTCTAACTTAATAAAGTAACAAATAACTTAATTGATGCAATTACCAAAATAATGAAATTTGACCAAACCCCCTAATTATGCAAGACTCCAAGTGGACCCCCCATCGTCTAGCATGCGCCAAATTAAGGTTTGACCCTTAGAACCCTTCCTTGCCACGCCTTTTATATACTTTAAAACTCTACCACACCCTCTCATCTTCTATCGGCGGACGAGGGGGTGGTTGTGCTTCCCTTCTCTCCATCCTGGATCTCGGCTATCTCTCATCGTAGAATTTCGATGATCTGCATTAGTTCATCATGCCTGACTCATTCGTTCTCATCCTGTTGACAGGAGCCTTCCTCTCCGATCATGGTTCCCGACCGAAGTTGTGTCATCGTTTTGGTGCTGAAATCGATGGATCTTTCTCTTCGTTTCCCACAGGCAGTGCCAGATGAAGATGCAAGAAATTTTCTTTTCTATTATGGAAAGATTTTCACACTCCAAACAATTTGCCTCTTTTCTCTCTCTAATTTCTATTTATAGAAGTTTACATTTTACCCTAAACTTTCTTCTTGGTTTCCAAGTTGGGAGCTGATAGGCTGGATCTCTTCTCTCAGACCATGTGGCTTAGAGGCTTCTACTATAGATGTGGCTGGGCCTATGGGCCACTAGACATTTGTATGAAATGAATGGGTTGGGTTGGGCCGGTTCTGGCCCGTTGGAGTTGTTGGACCTTTCACCGCCAAAGAGAGACACAAACGGTTAAGTATTGCATCTTACCATAGTGAAATGTCAACATGGAGAGTATCGCATCTTGACCCATCGATTAACTGTCAAAGATGGCAAGATCACTAGTCTCGCATTGATATATAGGTCTTAGCTATGCTAAATATTTCAAATCAACTATACTGAACAAAGACATTACACATTATGCTAAAAATATGTCAAAATTTAATTTTATTAAAAACTCGGACAAGTTCAGACATAAGTTACACTAGTGTTGCATGCAAAGTGTCCAAAATGCCAATCATTGATGGAGATATCCTACATTCAAGATTTCCCCCTATAAGCTTTATAATAAGGTCCATGGACAGTTCAAAACCTCTCATGACTTGGTGTGGACTTACTTCACATGAGTCTAGAACTCAACACTTGAAGCAATCATTCTAATTCAACCATGCATCCGTCTAAACCACCGAAGTAGGTGGTTCCTGATTAGTAAATTTACTTCAGAGATGCCAATGCTCAAGTAGCACCCGTGCCCTAGTCCATGAGAGCTCAGTTACATCTAAGGAGTGAAAGCCACTGAAGATCCAACACGGCAAGCATCACTACCCAAACAATGAAAAAAATAATAATAAACATTGAGTTGGCTTAAAAATCCATGGTTGTTGTCATACCCCCAACCTTAATCTTGCAAACCTGATCCTTAGTACAGATCCATCCAACTTCTATTTAAGATTCTGGAGTCAATAATATCTTATTCCTACCAGAATCAGTAGGCCAGTGGATGCAATAATCAACTCATGTCCTGAACGAGGCAAGTCAACTAAGTTAACGAGTCAATTATGTGACTCGAAAAAATTATGACTTGCTAACAAAAACTCTCTCAACCACTAAACTTCTAATTTTCCCTCACTAACTTCTAATTTTCTCTTGCACGTCACTCTCTCTCTAAAACAAACACTCTCTAACAACTCTTAAGACTTTCCCACTTGAGATACAATCTTCTATATTTATATACGCACCTTCTATTTCATGTTAATATGACAAAAGAGAAGAAAGAAAAAAAAGAATAAACAAGACCAAAGTCAGATTCTTAATCTTCTCTCAGTTGCTGCTCCTTTGATTCTCTCTCTCTACATGTCCTTGTGTTTCTGTATAGTATTATCCAAAATCAAAGGCAAAACCATCACTCAATTCTCAGTGATGAAATCAACTCCAATTCTCAATGAATTCAAGAACAATTTGAAAATCGGTCAGCGAGTCAAGGCCTTGATAAGAAGCCCCAATTGTTTGTCTAAGCAAAGCAGATCAAAGTGGTGAAGTTCTTTGGACGGATTTTCTGGGTTTCTTGTAAAGGTAAACATGTCAATGGGAATTTTATATATATATATATATAGTTCTTCCTTGGTAATAACAGAATAGTATTGAGACTTTAGAGTTGGTCTCTCTCCAGATTTAACTCTCTCTCTCTCTCTCTCTAGAATGAACCAAAACCAGAAATGGAATCCCTTAAGTTGTGGTTCCTGCATTCGGATTTGCATAGAAGTCACAGATAAAGACCTTCAGCACTCATCTTACTTTCTTCATTACCATATTCACTTCCCTGAGTTACCATTACCGTTCTTTCTCATCCTTTACTGGATAGCCGAAGATACTCTCAGTTTCATTTTAGGTTCCTTACATATTAAATGCATATATATATATATATACACACACACATAATATTTATGAATGTTATGTATATATCTTGTTCTTAATGATTTATTAATTGCAGAAACATACTGATATATCAATGTATTTTTGTGATTGCAAAGAGAGACAGAAAAGAGAAGGAGGGTACTTCCAATAAGAACTTTATTCACAAGTCATCTAGCAACAAGGTTACAATAGTAAATTGATATACTCCGTTAATGGAGTCAAACGGCCATCTCTGACAAGGGATGACAGTGTTATTGTCAAAATTATAGGGGAGGTTCATGTAATTTAGCCTAACTAGAGGGGATGTCAGTTTAAATTTCCCTATTTTTTTTACTAAAAGTAATTCTGCTGAAGGTCTTAGATTAACAACAAAATTTGTTTGATGCAGATAATACTGAAGCCATGTTTATGCAAAAGTAATACAAGTGGTTTTATATGCCAATATTGATCACAATCACATCTATCCACCTTAAACATAGAAAAACATTCATTTTACCAAGGATACATAAAGAAACACTTTTAGGAACCAAAAGAAAATATTTAAGGTTTTCAACACATTAATGCATCATGTTAGCATCCTAGTGGTTACCTCTTTCTCGAAAAATGGTTTTTTCTGAAGAAGGTCTTCCAAGTTCCCATAGTCAGTGATATCAATAGGCCAATCATGTGAAAGAAAAATATCAATCGGTTCATCAACTTGCATGAGCTTGTGAACATCATACTCACGAACATGATATATAGATTTGATATCCCTCTCATTATAAGGCAGCCTCTCATAGTGTCCTGCTCATGAAACACCTACTTTGCTTATTTATCATTGATATTCAGGAGTCGTTGCATCTCATAAATTAATCAACTCAAGAAAGAAATTGCGACCAATAAGAAAATGCAGGACATACACAATATTAAAGAGAACAATGTAACCAATTCAAGTAAAATGGGCACAATAATTTAACCAACCTAAATGATAGTGGTGGCTTTTATAAATTCCAGAGAGACCACCAATTCGGATGTTACCAAACTTGACCACTCCAGCAAAGCCCAAGAAGTATATATTTGGTGCTGCCCATCCTCCATAGTATCTAGAGAAATAGACAAAAGACACTCATAATTTCTATTGGACCATTTTAAGTACAATTTCTGAAACAACTAGCAATATCTGAAAGAAATTTTGAGGTCCAACCACTCAAATTGGTCATCAAGATAAATTATATCACCAAACCATAAATAATATAACATGTCATAGAAATAACACCAAGAAGAAAAAATCAAAAAGATTTATGGGTGAACTAAAATTTCAAGTCGCGTGCATATGGAATTTTACAAAAATACTAATTTATACAGTGCGGTTGATCAAGGTGATTACAATCTAAATGCTGCAAGTACAAGCATATCAAACATTCTAAATCAATACTTAAATACATCAATAATAAAATATAATGGTAAAAATCAATCGGAAGATCAATGAAACTGATTTTTATAGCAAAAGCAAGCCAAAAAGGCATATGAAACCTCTCAATAGATTATTATAACAAAATATATCTGCTCTTATGGACTTGTATAATCTCATGCAAACACATGTATATAAATATATATATACATATATTACTCCGGGGCAAACAACACCTAATGAAGCAACAACTATGCAATCCCACTGATTTTTTTTTTTTTTTTTTCAAGACAACCAAACTTCGTGAATGATGTATCATATCACTAAGTTATTGATAAAAACGATATTTAATATATATATATATATATATATATATATATATATTGGAGTTCCATAATATAGCCTGTGTTTCTTTACACAGCCAGTTGCAAGCCCAGATAAAGGAGGAGGGTTGTGTTCGTCACCAATATGAACATGAATCCTATGAACGCACGAGTAAATGCCAGGGTGTTCCCCTTAAAGGGATGCATTGCATCAGCTTCCGGATGCTTTCGAAAAATGGGCAAGGGGCGCCGCATCAGCGCCCGAGTGAGGTAAAAATTAGGCACGGGTTCCTCGTTTTTCTGGATGAGCATTGACAAAGAAGTTAGCCCAGGATAATAGGCCTAGATAGGGACTTGGAACATAAAAACTTTGAAGGGTAAAGGAATGGAGTTGGTAGACACTATGATTAGAAGGAAAATTAATATTTTATGGCTAGAGAGATTAAATGTGTAGGTGCAAAAGCTAGAGAGATTAAAGGATATAAATTATATTACACCGGAAAGGATAGATACAGAAATGGAGTAGGGATGATTATTGATAAGAATTTAAAAGAAGATGTGATAACCATTATTCGAAAAGAAGGTAGGATAATATTAGTAAAACTCTTATTAGGAGGAAATATATTCAATATAGTTAGCGCTTATGCACCCCAAGTAGAACTAGATGAAAATATTAAAACACAATCCTGGGAACATATGGATGAATTGATGCAAGGGATACCCGAAGAAGAAAAAGTGCATATGCAAGGAGACTTTAATGGTCATGTAGGAAAGTGTGGAAGATATGAGATGGTATGCAGTGGACATGGATTTGGAGAATAGATAATAGTCAAATTGATTACTTTCGGAGAGAGTTTAGCATCACAATATATGCTTATTGTTTTAGATTTATATATAAAAGGACAACCTAAAAGGAGAAAGAGAATCATAAGCCGAAGGACTAGGCAGTGGAATTTAAGAGGGGGGAAAAGAATAATTATTTAAAAATAAGATGTTAAAAGAAGAGCCATAGAACGTAAAAGATGAAACAAACTTTTTTCCCCTTTCAGTTATACCATGTACAAGAGGACTCTTTCTTTTTTAACTCTGACGTGGCTTAGCCAAATCAAATTCGGGGAGTTTTCGCGTATTCTCTTTCGTGTTGTCTATCATTACTCTATAAGGAAAGTTGGTGGTGGAATGAACAAGTCCAAAGGGGGTAATGCTATAAAGTTTGGCAAAAAAACTACAAATAGTGAAACCTTTGAAAAATAAAAATAAATAAATAAAGAAGTTAAGAAAGAAGTAAGTGAAAACATAGAGGATTTGACGATTTTTATTCTAAACAAGGCACAAATTAGGGAGAGAATAATATATATAAACATGCTAAACTAAGGGAGAGGATAACTGTGGATTTTAGTCATATTAAATGCATTAAGAGTGAAGATTCACAGCTTTTAGTAAAAGTTGATAAAATTAAAGAAAGAAGGAAAAGTTATTCCGAGAAGTTGTTAAATGAAAACCATATAGGACGTTTAGTCTTAGAAGAATATAGTGACCTTAGAGATAAACATATTTTTCCACAAGGTCAAGGAGTGGGAGGTTAGAAATGCCTGAAGGAAGATGAGATCAAAGAGGGCTTCAAGACCCAATGGCATTCCTATTGAGGTTTGGAAGTGTCTAGGAGAAGTTGGCTTGTCTTAGTTTTAAAAAATATATATATATTTAATAAGATAATAATAACAGCTAAAAGGATGTTTGTGGCGCCGATGTAGAGGGGGGGGGGAGGGGGGGATGTCTGATGAGTGGTGCCACAGTATCGGGGAATCAATTAGGATTCATGTTGGGAAGATCAAAAATGGAGGCTATTTACTTATTGACGAGACTAATGGAAAGATATAGAAAGAAGAGGGATCTCCATATGGTTTTTCTTGATTTGGAGAACGCTTACGATAGAGTACCTAGCAATCTAATAGATAGAATTTTAAAAAATAAAGGAGTCACAAAGGGATACATTGACACTATAAAAGACATGCATGATAGTTGTGTGACCATAGTTAGAACACTGGGAAACAAGTGAATTCCCAATTACTGCATCCTTACATCAAGGGTCGACATTAAACCCATACCTTTTGCCTTTATTATGGATGAGTTGATAAGATATGGATGATTTTATAAGACACGTCAAACTAAAGAGTTTAAGATAAGTAGAAATAAAACTGAATAAATGGAGTTTAACTTTAGTAAATCTAGAAATACAAATGAGGATGCAGTGAAGACTGAGAAATAAGAGGTACAACAAAAAAAAGTGAGCATTTTCGCCATTTAGGCTCAGTTATTCATAATGAAGGAGAAATTGGAGATGACATAAATCATAAAATCAAAGTGGGATGGGTTAAACGGAGGAGTGCTTCTAGTATATTGTGTTATAGGCGTATCCCCTTACGGTCGAAAGAAATTTCTATGGAACAGCTATTAGACGAGCCATATTTTATGGCACAGAATGTTGAATAGCTAGGAAACGAGGAAGCACGGACACTCCACTTAGCGGTGTCGTAGTAGCGTCGAACACTCGACACATACACGACTAGAAGTGTTTGAAATTTGAATATTTTATTTTCTGGTTGGACACAGCATTGACCCAGCAAGGATACGTTTTGGACACTTCCAATACATGACCGGTTAATTTTGTAATTATTTTTTAAAAAACGAATGAAATTCAGTGCAATTTAAAATATATTATGGACTGACTCAAAAAAATAATATAAAAATTAAAATAAAAAACATTTAATTATAATTATAAACTCCAAAGTAGTGCTTTTATTCATGATTATGTGGATAAAATGAATAAAAATTATTATTTTTAATATATAAAATAATATTCTATTATTATTTTTTGACGTATCCATGTCATATCCGTATTCTGTTTTTTTTAGATTTGTCATATTGCCGTATCCATGTGGACCGTATCGTGTCGAACCCTGTCATGTATCTGTATCTATGCTTCCTAGCTAGGAAACAACATTTGCATAAAGTGAGTGGGAAAAACGCAAATATTAGATAGAAGTGATTACATTCGGGAGATGGATGAAGTAGCACAAGTTGGAGATAAAATGAGAGAAAATCAATCAATATGGTTTGGACATGTGCAAAGAGACCTTTTTAAGTGCACCAGTTAGGAAAAGTGACATAATCCACATAATACTAGGGGAAAAGGAAGACCAAAGTTAGCGTGGGTAGAATTGTAGGGAAGGCTATGATAGCATGTGGATTGAGTGAGACTATGGAATGGAAACATAGGATTCGTGTAGCCAACTCCAAGTAGTTGGGAAAAGGCTTGGTTGTTGTTGTTGTTGTTGTTGTTATAGTTCTATAACATAGCCTCAATTCTCCAACCAGAAGATAGTGAGTTACATGCACAGACACAGAGAAGAGTGACCATGGAAAAAAATTCTAGATATTTCAACAAGCATGCAATAGAAATAAGAAATATTTTGAAAAGTAAATCAAATGTCATCATAACACCACCGTGATGGCCATTCACCTGTCTTTTAGCCTTTTCATGAAGATACTATACCAAAATAATGCACTTTCCAAGTAGAATATTTATGAATTTACAATATCAAGTTACTCACAGTTCCCACAGGTAATTGGATGCTTCATGATTCCCACCAATGAATATAGTTGGAAATGGAGCAACTTTTTCTCCTGAATAGTACTTCCAGAAAGAATTCATGCTTCGGTATTTTCGTGGCACACTCATGCTTTCTAAATCATTCTCATTCCTAACAGCCTGTTTACGAAGGAAACTAACTCAGTTTTAAATAATTTCTACAATCAGAAATAATAAGAAGAAGAAAAAATGCTTTAGTGGCCAAACTAAAGTAAATGCAAGGGGAAAGTTGTCCATGGAAAATTTAATCCCTTAATTTCTCCTTCTAAAAAAAATGAGTTTTGTTTCCTTTGCTTTCCATCAATAATAAACTTTCAAACACACATTGGATGAACAATGTATCCAAACATAGTATAGAAGCGATACTGAACATGAACAAATCAATACTACCATGAGTATCCTCTACCAATGGGCCATTAGCCCAATAGTATAACCTCTCCTCCCTCAAATGGGAGGTGAGGAGTTCGAGTCCCGTAGTGGGCAACTATGAAATGCGTGTTTGAGTACTTACCTAACCAAAAAAGAAAAGAAAAGAAAAAAAGGTGACTATCCTCTAATGATGTTTGAAATGATGAAGAACAAAATAGGAATCAAAATATTTTAAACTAGAAAAAATTCAAGTGTGTTGTAATTAAACAGACACAAAATCAATGACAGCAGTGCATTGATATTTATACCTGAAAGTCACCACAGCAGATGAGAAGGTCAATTTGGGTCTTCTCTACCTCTTGCAAATGTAATACAGTTGCATACACACTGTCAAGGTCACCATGCATGCACCCTTCTACTGCAATCTTCATCTGTATATATACATTAAACTAATTACACAAGGCCCTGACTTTGAATAATTTAAAAAAAGAAAAAAGAAAGAAAAATGATAGATTTATTGGATTAGGGTTCCACCAATTTTTACATAATTTTAAAATGTGTGACCATTTAATCAGTGCACTTGAATTTCAATGGTAATGTAAATATGCTATAATTTAAGTCCATCGATGAAGAAATTCTATTGTGTGGAATCAAACGAAGCTAGGCGGATCCTAATATAAGAAGTATTTTTTCAGTCCACAATAAAAGTGACATGAGCACACAACAAAATTTTTGTGATTAGTTTCAGGATGCCTGCAGCTTTCGTTAAACTCCAAACCCTAAAACAGAACATACCATTCCAAATCAAACTAACCCTACAATTATTCCAACTTTAAACACAATCTTGCTAAAAACGCAAAAGCACAATAAACTGACATTAGGTTAACGAATTATCGACAAGATCGATCATACAAAACTAAAGTTATTAACAAAACTAGATACATAAGCACGTTATCGTACAGATGATAAAGAACTTCAATCAAGAATGAAGAACACTGAACCTACCTCTTTCAATAAATTTTCCTCTGTCGAACTCTGTTAGCGCTTCAGTACTCCGGTAGCAAGAGCCAAACTTTATTTGCCGCCTCTCTCTCTCTCGCCCTCTAAAACTCTCGTTCTCCAATTAAAAAATCCGAGGGAGAGTTTTAAAGAAGCTTGATTACAAAATTAGTAGCGGACCGCTCTCTTTCGCGGGTACGGGGCGGATATGAATTTACGTAAACCCCGTTGTCATCCCTTCTAGTACTTGCACATGTGATTTTGCCCCAATATATATATGTGTGTATATATATATATATATATATTGTATAACTGTGTGTATATATATATTTTTATATGTTTAATCAATTTCAAAAACTTCTCCTCAATCTAAAATTTTAAAATAACAATTTATTTTTAGGGTAAACTAGTAAAAGGCACGTGCGATATACGTGATAAATGTTTTGTAATTTATTGAATTTTTCTTTTCATATATGTTTTAATTATTTTATAGAAATTATTTTATTTTATTTAAATTAATTAATAAAAAAAAATTATATTAAACAATAAATACTGAAATGCTAAAACTCTTTACACGCAGAGGTTATATATGATAGAGTTCTATTTTAAATTTAATTAATAATTTTTTATATTAAAAAAAAATACTGAAATATTAAAACTCTCTACACTTTTATATTTTATTTATATGTATTATTATATTATTATATTTTTATTTATTTATAAAGTTTTATAGAAAATAAAATAGGTAATTTGTGGTAAAGTTTATAAAATAATTTGTCATTTGTGGTAGAGTTTTATATAAATTATTTTATTTTATTTAAATATATCCTTATCTAATTAGATTTCCTTTTATTAAAAAACTCATAATAAATAGATAAATAAAGATTATATATGATAGAGTTTTAAATAAAATAAAATAGTTAATTTGTGGAAGAGTTTAAGTAATTTGTGTTAGTATTTTATATAAATTCTTTTAATATATCCTTATTTAATGTGATAGAGTTTTATTGAAAATAAAATAGGTAATTTGTGGTATAATTTTATATTATTTTTTTAAAATATTTATATATATATATATATATCCTTTTCTAATTATATTTTCTTTTATTAAAAAAACTTTAATTTGTGTTAGAGTTTTATAAAAAGTATTTTATTTTTTATATCAATTAATAAATATTTTTTATATTAATAATTCTTGTCTAATCAGATTTTCTTTAACTAAAAAACTCTTGATACATAGATAAATCGGTAATTTGTGTTAGAGCTTTATATAAACTCTTTTAAAAATTTGTTTTATTTTATTTAAATATATCATTGTCTAATTAGATTTCCTTTTATTAAAAAACTCATAACAAATATATAAATACCAGTTATATGTAATGGAGTTTTAAAGAAAATAAAATAGGTAATTTGCGGTAAAGTTTTATAAATATTATTTTATTTTCTGTAAATAAATTCATAATAAATAGATAAATAAATGTTATAAGTAATACAGTTTTATATAAAATAAAATAAATAATTTGTCCTAGAGTTTTATAAAAATTATTTTATTTTCTTTAAATATATTTTTGTATAATTAGATTTTACTTTATTGAAAAACTCATAATAAATATATAATGTGATATAGTTTTATAGAAAATAAAACCGCTAATTTGTGATAGATTTTATAGAATTCATTTTATTTTCTTTAAATATATTATTGTTTAATTATATTTTATTTTATTAAAAAAAAACACATAATAAATAGATAAATAGGTAATATATGTTAAAGGAAATCTTTTAAAAACTCTTTTTCTATCAATTAATAAATAATTTTTTATATTAATATTTCTTGTCTAATTTGTGGTAGAGCTTTAAAAATTATTTTATTTTTTATATTAATTAATAAATATTTTTTATATTAACAATTTATGTCTAATTTTTCTTTTATTAAAAACTCATAATAAATAAATAAATTGGTAATTTGTGTTAAAGTTTTATATAGAAACTCTTTTTAAATCAATTAATAAATATTTTTTATATTAATAATTCTTATCTAATTAGATTTTCGTTTATTAAAAAACTCATAATAAATAGAATAATAGGTAAATTGTGTTAGAGTTTTATAAAAACTCTTTTAAAACCTCTTTTTTATATCAATTAATAAATATTTTTTTATATTAATAATACTCGTATAATTATATTTCCTTTTAATAAAAAAAGCTCATAATAAATAAGTAATTTGTGTTAAAGTTTTATAGAAACTCTTTAAATATATCTTTATCTAATATGATAGAGTTTAATTGAAAAAAATTAAGTAATTTGTGGTAGAATTTTATAAAAATTATTTTATTTTCTTTAAATATATCCTTGCCTAATTAGATTTATTGTTATTAAAAAATTATAATAATAGGTAATTTGTGGTAGAATTTTAGAAAAATTATTTTATTTTATATATCAATTAATGATTTTTTTTATATTAATAATTATTGTCTAATTATATTTTCTTTTATTTTAACTCAAAATAATAAATAGATAAATACATAATTTGTGTTAGAATTTTATGGAAATTCTTTAAATATATCAATGTCTAATGTGATAGAGTTTTATTGAAAATAAAATGGGTAATTCGTGATAAAGTTTTAAAAAAATTATTTTATTTTATTTAAATATATCCTTGTCTAATTAAATTTCCTTTTATTAAAAAATTCATAATAAAAGATAATTTGTGGCATAGTTTTAGAGAAATTATTTTATTTTCTATATCAATTAATAAATATTTTTTATATTAATAATTTTTTGTCTAATTAGATTTTTTTTATTAACAAATTTATAATAAATAGATAAATAGGTAATTTGTGTTAGAGTTTTATAAAAACTCTTTAAATATACCCTTGTCTAATGAGTTTTATTGAAAATAAAATAGAGAAATTATTTCATTTTTTAAATATATATCCTTGTCTAATTAGATTTCCTTTTATTAAAAAACTCATAAGGTAATTTGTGTTAGTTATTATTTTATTTTACCTATTTAATTTTAATTGATAATTAATTTATGTCAAAGTTAACATATTTAAAATTGAATTATTTTGTTAACATATTGTGAATTTCAAAACTCACTCGCGGGAGCTTCCTAACTTCTTCACCTTCGAAATAATCCCCTACCAATAAAACCTACCCGCTAACTTTGTCTGCAACAAAATAAAGAACCATGCTAGTGGACTTTGTAGAAGCCATTCCATTAAATCCAAATATTCATTTAAATATAAATGAAATTATAGATATGAGTTTCTTCTTAGCCCAACCTGTTGGACCCACTACAGTATTACTTTAAAAAAATGTTATCACCAAAAAAAAAAAAAAAAAAAGGTATGAGGATAATATGTGGTGAATTAATTATTTATGCACCAATTGATTTATTAAATATTTTATTATGCATTAACACTTTTACGAAGTAAATAATAATTAATTTATTAATTTATAAAAAATGAATACAATTCTCTAATGTATTCTTTACATATGAAGCAAATAATAAAAATGGAGTATAGAGAATTTGTGACTTCTTCAAGGCTTAGGTGAGTCTCTGAATTTACCCTTCCTCCTTCCTCAATGCCTCTATTTACAGGCTTCTTGGATTATTAGGATAATAACATATGTCATCTCCTCATAAGGACATAATCATAACTGGGCCGGGCCGGATGAATGTCATTATCTTTTATAATAATAGCAATATAGATATAGATTTTGTGTTACAGTTTTATAGAAACTCTTTTAATAATAGTATAGATTTATTAGGGATATTGTAATTTGAATTTATAAAAACTCTTTTAATAATAGTAGATTTAGACTAAATAGGTAATTTGACTTTTATTAGTTAATTTTTAGAGTTTTATATCCATTAATATATATTTTTATATATTAATACATAAATACTGAAATACTGAAATAATTTGCACATTTAATAATAGTATAGATTAATAAATATTTTTTATATTAATAAATAAATACTGAAATATTGAAACACTTTGCACATTTAATAATAGTGTAAAAATAATTAATGAACAATTTTAGTACAACTAAATGACCACAAAGCAACCCCTTAACTCTAAATCTTTTTATCTGCTTAACGATTTTCCAAAGCTTTTTTTGGGTAAGAACTCTAAAAATTGAAAATGATAATAATAAATGACCACAAATAGTTAGGTTTATTTATCAAAATGAAACCATTATGGCCATTGACAGACTACATTACTTCAAGCATCAATGGCAATAATTATTTCACTTTGACGTATAAGCCTAAATATCAAGTATGAATATCATGACTCAAATAATATAACTAAATAATCACAAATTTTCCCCCACAAAATAAAGTAGATATTACTGAAATTTAAGTGTGGAGGTTTTTAAGTGGTAATTAAAAATAAATATTTTTTAATATCTTTTTGAATTTACTTACAAATGATGTACCTGTCACTTCAAATTTTATTTGCTTATGGCTTTCAGTGAAATTCAAATTATCAAATTGCTTTATTAAACACACTAAATTGAATAAACACTGTATCAAAATTGGGTGCTAAATTGAATCATGAGACCACACCTACCTCTAAAATCAGTTTATCTACCTGATTGGTTGCTTTTTGTATACGTCAAGGGATTTTTTACTTTAAAATTTATTTGCCTACTTTTTTTTCTTGTTTTTTTTCAAGGTTAGAAGTGTTACATGTTAGATTAAGTGGGTGTTTGGGATTGATTCTCTATTACTAAAAAGCACTTTTAATCTAAAAAACTGCAATGTAATGTGTTTGATGAAAAAAAAAAAAACACTCTTATAGTTGGTAGAAGTTAGGTTTAAAAAGCGTGTTTAAGTGAAGTTAGGAATCGTAACTTTAAAAATTGCGTTAAGGTAGAGGTCCGTGTTTTTAGGTAACTAATTTTTTTTAGACAATTTAATCCCTTTATATTTTTTATAAAACAATTGTATCCCTTTTATAAACAAATAGTAAACAAGATGGACTCTGTAACAAACTAAAATCCTTATTTATTTTGGACTCTCCAGCCTTCCAATCTCAATTTATTTTGGGACTTTGAATTATATAATTGTTATATGTTTAATTTTTAATAAATTATGATTTGTAATTTGTTTTAAAAATAACTATAATACATTTATACTATTATCTTAAATAACAAGTAATAAGATTA